ATAGAACTCACCGTCATATAATTCCAAAAATTAGACAAAAATCATGAGCAAGAAAATATCATTATGTTCTTTGAAAAATGGACCAGCAAAACTCAAAATCTCTTCAATTTCAACCATTTCATTGAAAATTTGTGTACTATCATAATCGTTATTTTCCATATTCAAATATTTTTCTACGTAGTAAAGGATAAATTTTAAATGAAAAGATTACAAAATAAAGGGATAACTAGAGCTGAAGCCCCAAACATTTCAAACACTTGTAGACTTTTTTCTAATCTTTCAATCGTTACAGTCATCACCCCAAACCTCCCCAACCATAGTAGCTGAGGTCCAAATGGACGGTTTACATCTAGTATGTCCTCAGTTGGCCATCAAAATTAAAATCTTGCCATTTTTTTTTTTTACCAAAATAGAGAAGGGTGAAACCGTCTCTTCACTTAGAACACAAACCTCCAAAGTAGTTATTGTTCATTTCCCTCCACTATATATACTATCCCTAATAAATTGACATTTTCTCACTCCTTCGCAGCAGACTGAACTGAAGGTGGAAGCAATGGAAATGCCAATTTGCAAATGTGGAACCCCTACTCAAATGAAGAATTTGGGACTAATTTGTACCCGAATAGACGATTTCCCAATCTTCAACGTGGAATGCATATGCAGGGTTGCTCTTTCTTTCTTTAGTATGATCTCCCGAATGTTTGAGAGATTAAAGAAGCTAATATCTGGTCTTCTACGCTCGGGGCGGGAGATGAGAATCGAAATTAGGGAACTCCATACAAATGGAAGTGATATGTGGAAGATTTGGTTTTTGAATTTGTTTGTGAAGTGATTATGAAGTAGATCTGCAGTTAGATTTGAATAGAGTTGGTTAAAATGTGTATGGGTTCTGGGGTTTTATGTTAGATTCGTACTCTTTCGATATAATGGTGTAACCTAAGTTATGGGTACGAAATGTATTTGTAATTTATGTAGCGTTCTGTGTCATCTTCTTGATTTTGTTATGAAAGTAAACCTAGTTAAGGCCCCAAACCTTTCGTGATAATTGCATAAAAGGTCCTAAGATATCACACTTAAAATGTCCATTGAAATGCTAGCTTCTCATTGAACCAATTGAAGGCGTCTTCATTCAAAACTTTCGTCTGTTTCATAATTGTCTTCCATTCAGGTACAACAGTAGATTTGACTGCAGCCTAAAACAAACTCTTCAAAGCGAGGCCTTTATGACAGCATCTACACCTTCACATATTTGATGTATATCTTTAACCAATCGCTTTTGCTTGTAAGAAATGAAAGTCCATGCCCTACTAATGTACATTCCTATGTTAAATACCGAAAATTCTATGAACCAATTCCAGCTGGCTTTGTTCTCTACATCTACAATTGTCCAAGCAATTAGGAACATACAATTATCACCATCAATCCCCACTGCTGCCAATAATTGGCCCCAATGTGCATTCTTCAAAAAATAAACATCCAGTCCTATCGCAAGCTTACAACCAGTCTTGAATTCTTCTTTACAACCTCGGATTCATTGGTCATATTCATACTCTCCAACACCTTTCCATTTTCCATATCAGTCACTACAACTACAAGTGGTACTTTCTCATCCCACAATACAAATCTACAACCCTTACGTCACCAAGTAATTTCACCACGTTCATGAAGTATGTATCAATAACTAACCAGAATGACCCCTCACTCAATCTTTTCTTTTTAAGCAAATATACATACTTTATTGCCTCTCGTACCCAACGTCTTCATACACATATTGTATCTTGGAAAATAAAATCCCACCATTGTTTAGTCAGATTGTGAAATAAGTGGAGTTTTCTTCTGAAAAGGGAAAATATTATATAATGCAACCAAAACTAATAGGTGTTAAGTGTAGTTTCTACACTTATTAGGGGTCCTAAATAAAGATATTTTGTGATTCTTTAGACCAATTAATGTCTAATTTGTTATTTATTGCTTTTATTAGAAAAAAAAAACTCATGTTTGGACAAAGAATTGGAAGAAAAACGAAAAATGGCTAAAATGAAGGAAATTCAAAGTTTGGGGACTAAAGTACAAATACTCAAAGTTGTGTTGGACCTAATGATAAATATTTAAGTGTAAGGAGTCAACTGGATGAGGAAATAAGTCAAAGAGATGAAGTATGGTCAAAGTATTATCACATATTAACTTTCAGTCGAAAAAGTTATGCTTTAGAATTTCAGCCTCATATTGAGATTCAATTTTGGCATAGTAAACATTCAAATTAGAAAAGTGATATTGCCATAAGAATTGTATCCCTCTGAATGAACTTACCAATGCACTTTGAATTACCTCAATTAAATATCGGAAGGAAAAATTATGATAAAAATACTAAAAGTTGTTCAGCTATCGAAACTTAGGTGAGGCGTGCGCCTTCGCCTGCCAGAGAGCGCACACACCCCAACTAAAAGTGAAGCATCCCAAACTAGCTAGACACATGCCCTAGCTATGCCTAGGCATGCGTCTCAATGCAAAATGGAAAAAATTCGATTTTTCCTTATTTTTGTTTTAGTAACAATTCAATGCAATTTTTTTGTCATCCTTTAAACACCAAAATTCAACTAGAACATCGAACCTCCATTTGACCAAAATTTCATCATATTCTACATATTTTGGAGGCGACGAATGTCTATACATCAATTCAAGGCGAACCATATGAGGATTTTGAAAATTCATAGCTCAGTCTCAAGATTTGAGTCAAGACATGAATTTCTCCTACTTCTACCATATTTCTTATTTTTGGGTGATATTTTTCCAATAATTCTTGTGTAGTTTAATTATAGGAATGTTAGGCCAAGTTTTTCATTATTGGATGAATAATGAGCCCAATTATTTTGTTTATTTTAATTCAAGATAATTAGTTTAGTATTTCTTGATTCTTCTTGATTGGCTTTGCATTTCCATTAAACTATTTGATTGCTTAATAATCAATTATATGGTAAATTGCTTATTGTAGTGTAGAAATACTCAAAATAAGTCTATAACACGGAAAAATCAAAACATGGGCAATAGGTATTAGGAATAATATCTATGGCATATGCAATCATGTGTGATAATTCTTGTAAATCAATATATGTTTTTCATATGAATTTGGACTAGGAATAGGATCATATCATATTAAATATATGTTTAATATATCTTGAAAAAGAATATTGAATAAAAAATGATTATCGATTATCTTAAATGCATGAATTTACTAAATTACGAATTAAGAATTGAATTAAATGGCGATAAGGAGATTAACGATTCCAATACAAATATTCACATATTAGATAAATATTTTAATTGCTTTCTTAGTTTAGGATCTATGTAGAAAACATACAAACCATCTCTTTTGATGTTACATGACTTCGAATTTGATAAAAGTTATTAAACTAAATATTAGACATTACTCCTCATTGGGAACGACAAACTCAAAACTCACTTATTTCTATTACTTGTTAACGATCTCGTACGCTTGCAGGTTTTCAACGTAACAATATGGTTCTCATAATAGGCGTGACTATGTGCTCATTACAGCAATTTGTCCACATACTTCACTCCATGCAATTTCTCTAAACCCAAACTATTATATTGACGAAAAACTACCAAAATACAAAATCGATTAAACAAAATGGGTTAAAGTACTTCGTGATAATGATCTGTATATATATATTCTCACAAAAACTACAGTTTCTGCAAGATTACTCCTAAAATCATCACTCCTTTGAAGATACTTCAAAAAACATATCATACATGGGTTCCGGGAGTAATCCTCTCTGATGACATTTGCATCGAGCTCTTCTTCATCGGATTCTTGAGCTTCAAACGAGTTTATTATGGAAGATTTTTGCATAGTTTTCTTCTCCTGTTTGTAAAGCAGAGTGCATGAGATAAGTAACTGACAATATTGATTTAAAAGAGTTTTAAGTGAAAATACGATTTTACCTTTCCCTATTTTGGTAAAAATGGTCAAATTTTAATTTTGCTGGTCAATTGATGGTAGACTGGATGAAAATCATTCGTTTGAGCCTTAGCTGCTACGGTTAGAAAGGTTTGGGGTGGTAGCTATAACTATTTAAAGGTTACAGAAAAACCTAGAAATGTTTGAAAGATTTGGGACTTCAATTACAATTATCCCTAAAATAAACAATGAACATATAAAGTTTGTTACTTCCTTCTAAAAGGGTTGACATTTTAAAATGAAATATCAAAGCTTAATATGATATTAGAGCTTAGTAATGTGCATTGTTCTCGATTAAACCTACAAATTGATCACACGAGATTTCATGATTGATGTGCTTAAACAAGCCACTACCTTGTAAGAAACATGTTAATGGATAAATCTCAAATAAAAAGGTTACAATATAAACAATCAATATATGAAACATTGAACTACACCCTTTACAAATTGACTTTCTTGAAATGGAACTAGAAATTTTAATAATACTCTCATTGAACTCGGGGAATCTCAAACTTGATGCCCAATTCCCAACGCTGATCTTTATATGAAATCTAATTTGACACTTGAGCTCAAAAGGAACGTAATCAAATCACACGACCTATCATTCAACAAAGCTTCGACCACCAAAATTATCGTGTGACCCAAACTATCCATCGCCCTTCAGATCGACGTGTGACCATTCTCAAGGGCCTCTGTGTGCGAGAATTGCCCACCACCTCTAGGATAGACAAAACAATATACTGACTGTGTCAAAATTAAGAAGAAAAGAGTAGTTGCTTAAGTAAAATTGAGGAATAGGTGAACTTTCATGACCACGATTACAGTTTTCAGACAGAAAAAATTTGGAGAATATAGTGTCTTGCAGAGCATCAAAATCTTTGTACCTATAACCATGAGCTCGAGTCTTTTAGTTGAAAAACTTCCCTCATTTTAACAGCAACAAGAAAGTTGCACAAAACATACCTATAAATTGATACCTATAAATTGTCACATATATTGAAAACCAAAGCAACACATAATCAAGATTGCCAAGAACAAATAGCTCCATGAAGTTTGGCATACAATCAACCCAAACAGAAAATGCTGGATTAAGAATAGCTAAAGAAGCAAGATAATGCTCTACATTATTCCCTTTGCGGAGAACAAAGCAACAAGATCCACATCCTTCAAACATAAACATAATAATTTCTTCAAAAATTAAACCCGAAATAATTCAACAAAACCGTTTCTTTTGAACAACAGCCAGTTCAATAAATACTCTTTCTCCTTTTTGTTAGGAAGCAATTATTCTTCAAGAGATCTCCACACCTCATATGCATTTACCATTCCCTCTAGCATTCCTAGCACATCTCCCAGTGGCCACGTTGAAAGACCATCATTATTAAACCCCTGAAACGTTTTATCAATTTTCAGGCTCTTGCTTGTCCCTTGTCTTGCTCAAGGTCATGTATCAAGTTTCGTTGAGACAAGGCTTAATGAAATACAAGCCTGAACAAAATATAATAACTCCAGCTCAGCAGTAAATGCAGAAAACTGAAAAACTAAAATTTACATTTCAAGGTAATCCAAGACATGTAACCAACAGATTAAGTCGAATGCTATCCAAGTATCAACTCCTCATCTAGATTTAGCAATTACCCAGGTCACATACCATTGTGCTAAGAATGACATTATGAAAATGTAATCAACTACCACACAAAGATTCAGTACTACAATCTGAGAATTAAAGACATTTGCGGCGCATGCTACATGTAGAATGTTTCAAGCAGAAGCCTTGAGGATCCCACTTGTCAATAAATCAGACTTCCTGCAACAGATCCTAATACTAAGAGTTTTACCTCTATAACCCTCACTTCAACTTGCAATTGTCAGAACTAAATTGTTTTCCTCTCTAGTCATTTCGGTCTGGGGCTGAGGTGGCACGCCATGAACACTTGTGGGTGCATTTAAGTCCATTGAAGCCAGGGTTTCTAGCTCTTGTAAGGCACTTATTGCAGTTGCATTGTCTAAGCACGGTTTTACCACATTCACTGTTTGCTTGATTCTTGATTGCTGGCAGTCAATTTGAGAACATGTATTCATTAGTGCATCAACACCAACTCCATTACAGGAGAAACCTGGAAAGTAAACAAACAAGCACAACGTTTATGCTGCTTACCAAATGCTCAAGTTTGCCTTTAAGATCTTCAAAAGCCACTTGCTGTTGGGAGTTGGGCGCTTGAGTCACTGTACCTGATGCATCCTAGCAACCAAAGATGAGCCATAGAAAATATGAACTAGCTCAGTAAAATTAACATTGTACCTAAACTAATACCAATAGCAGCTATAATTTGTATGTTAATAAATGATTCAGGTAAGAAAAATGGGGTTCAGGGCAAGGGCAGAAGAACAGTTTACTAGGGTAATTAGCTCCATGTTTCTCCACTGTATGTGCCCTTGGCTAACTAGATGAAGATAGATGAATGGCCTTCACCACTTTTGCACTATTTATTCTATTACAGTTATCACCAAGTCAAAACTAAATAGAAAGCACTGGTAACAACTATTGTAAACTCGAGTGTGTAACTTCTAAAATAAGTACTATGAATGATATATATGCATATGCTATTATTGTGCACACTTGAATAGTATTATCTTTCCAGCTTAACGCATTATAATTATTTTCTAGTTCAAGATAGAAGCAATTTTTTTTCAGAACTAGTTAAAATAAAAATAACAAACTGACTTTTATGATGGTAATAACAAAGACAACAGCAAATGAGAAGAGATACCCGTTTAAAACAATGAAAGTGTTTCAAACATTAGAATGAACACAAAAAAAATAAAATAAAATAAAATAAAAGTCATTTTATTTCCAACTGAAGATTGATTGATTTTCTTGCATTTTAATTGATTTATTCTTCCATGTTTTTCAATTTTTAAGTTTAGAAATTTTCAATATTCGTTATTTGGGTACATTTTCCATATATTGCTAAGAATTTGAAGTATACATAAGAGTAGTATTTCTGAGCAAACTGACTTTTATGATGGTAATAAAAAACAGGATAAGAGGTAGAAAGGAGGAGCAAGAACAAGAGAGAGAAATAAGAATTTGAGAGAGAAAAGATAGAATAATTTCTATATCACTCAATGTCATAAATCAATTATCAACATTGCTCAGAAATACTACCTCTCATGATGGTAATAACAAAGACAACAACAGCAAATGAGAAGAGATACTCCTTTAAAACAATGAAAGTGTTTCAAACATTAGAATGAATACAAAAAAATGTAAAAATAAAAATAAAAAAAATAATAAAACAACAACAATAATAATAATAATAATAATAATAATAAAAGTCATTTTATTTCCAACTGAAGATTGATTAATTTTCTTACATTTTAATTGATTTATTCTTCCATGTTTTTCAATTTTTAAGTTTGGAAATTTTCAATATTCGTTATTTGGGCACATTTTCCATAGCAATGTTGATAATTGATTTATGACATTGAGTGATATAGAAATTGATGCAGGACGAATTAAAAAATAAAAAGAAGAAGCAAGAAAGAGGGGAGAACCGGAAAGAATGGAGGGAGTAATCGGAGAAGAATAAGAAATTCATGGGGGAGGGGGGAAGGAGAGGAAGGAGAAGCCCTAAACAACAAACCACCAAAATATTCTTCAATTCATCAAAACTAATGAAATTACATCGCAATTAGTTTTAAATAATAAAGCAACTCTAACGAGCTTGGGCCCGAGCCCATACAAGTCCAAATTTAAATAATAGTCCAAGAAAATAAATAAAGCTTAAATAAAATAAGTAAACGTCGTCCGATGTCCTCATCAACTCTCCCGAGGTGGGAGAAAAATTCGACCCTGTCGAGTGATAGATAGTAGAGGCTGCAGTCAATCTGATACTCCAAAGGCTTCAAGTCAAGCCACGGGAGACGATCTTTCTGATGAACCAAGTAATGAAATTCCATAATTGATAGTACTGAAAGCTGTAGCTTATTCCCAAGAATATGATCTAACCAAGGGGGGCGATCTTTCCTTCTAACCAAGTACTGATACTGGATTTCAAATAACCAATACTCATGTACCTCATTTTCAAAATTTTCACATAATTGTACATAATGAGGAGTATAAGAAGTACGTCGATCTACCCAACAAACAAGAAAGTACTGAATTTTGCCATCATTGGTCAATACAACACGTTCATCTAAAATAACATCAATTTTATCTTTGTGTGTTGTGATAGATGGTATTAAAGTAGAAATATCAATATAGTCAAATTGGGGGTCCACAAAGTTAGGTAGAAATAGATCATCAAAGGAAGTAATACGGTGTTTGTAATTAATGAAGTCCTCAACATTTAAAGCAGAGTGGTAGCCAAAATGTGATGAAAGGGCAAAGACATGCATTTGAACCAACATGCTTTAAAATTTTTAAAGGACTAACGCTACAAGCTTGTAATATGACATAATCCCCAATATTAAATTCAAAATATCGTTTATGCGAATTAGCTTGAAGTTTATATAATACGTTACTTGCGTCATGTTGTCTATTGATCTCAATATGCAAGTCATGAAGATGATATACAAATACTTCAACTGACAACTACACACTAGCATGCGGGGACATGGAAATAAGATCTAACGGTCGCCTAGACTTATAACTATGAACAACTTCAAATGGATTTAGACCTAGAGACCGATTCATAGAATTGTTATATGCGATGTGAGCAGTTGGGGGAATCGAGTCCCAATTCTCAAGATTTTTCTGGACTAGAGACTGTAATAAATTGTCAAGACTTCGGTTAGCAATTTCGTTTTGACCATCAGTTTGAGGTTGGTCAGTAGTGGAGAATTTCGATTTAGTGCTAAGAACAGGCAACTGGATTCTCCAAGGGTGACTAGTGAAATCATCAAACTCTTTGAGTTGGGTAAGGGTATGACATATAACATGTGATCGAGAGTTGTCGAAAACAAGGGATATAGTTTCTAAAGTCTCGGGAAGGGTCAGGATTCCACTTAAGGAAATGTCCTCACTATCATCCAAGTCATCAAAATCTTCAAGTTTATACTCATAAACTAGATCTTCTAACGACTCTTCTATTACATCCTTTCGTTCTTCTATGACTAAGGCTCGGTTAGGACATTTGGGAGAGATGTGGCCAAAGTCCCTACAGCTGATGCATAGCAGGTGAGAAGAAGTCCCTGGAATTTCAAAAATTTTACACTTATTTTCCAAAATTTGAGGAACATTAGACGGGGGAGGTCCTAGAAGAGACTTAATAGGTGGAGGTGGAGCCAATGAGATGGACGAATGGTTGTCAATACGCCTTTTATAAGGAGAAGGGGGCCTTGGACTATCACGACATTTACACTTATTTTTCCAAATGAGAAGAACACTAGATTGGGAAGGCTCTATGATAGACTTACGATGAGATGACGCTAATGAGGTGGGTGAACGATGGTGATCACGCTTTTCATATGCAGTACTAATAAGTAACTCGTAGTCCCGAGCTGAAGAGTAAGCTTGATTAAGAGTAGTGATGCCTCGAAAGAAAAGCTCATGCCTAAGTTCATCTCGTAGACCTTGTATAAACCTACTTAAAGTCAGGGCCTCATCCTCAACGACATGACATTTCTCACTCGAAATTCCTCAAATTGAGCAATGTATTCAGTTATTAGCCGATTTTCTTGTGTAAGGGTGTTCCATTGGGTAAAAATTTCATGATATAAGCAACCATCGAAAGTAGGAGTATCTAAGTCAATGTCTCTAAAGAAACGCTCATCATGATGGCCTTGTTCTCACTCACGAACCTGATCCCTATTCTTACGATTGTGTCGAAAATAATTTTGATCACTTTGTCCATGATGATATTGTCTATTATGAGACGCTCCAAAATTAGTGTCAATCAAACGAGGGGTTTGCTTAAAATTGCTCAACTTATCAGCTAGTTTCTTTCTCTCCTCACGAGTAGCAATTATATCTGATTCGATAGTCGATGGGCTAGTGGCAAGTTGCACTAATTGTCTAGTGAGTGCATCAAATGGGGATGGATCCATGGTCAATGTATTGAAAATAGAGACGACAAGACGACCACTACGCAACTACATGCAATGTAATACCAGCTAAATGACGTGCAATGATGAGATCAATAAACAATAAATGAAAAAAATGAAAAATAACAAACAAAGCATTTTTTTTCAGGATTAAATAAATTCAAATATGGCAAGCTAATACTATTGATCTATGTAAAATAATAAAGCACAGATCAAATACTAGTCAAAAACTAATCATGTAACATAAATAGGGTAAAATAGGGTTTTGACAAAATCAACTGATTCAGTCACGTGACTTTAGATATATTGGTAGAATAACATCACAAAAATTTAATTAATGCAATTTTAAATGAAGCAGTATTGTAAACCAATAACAAATATAAATCAAGCACTCCCTGTTGTTTAGTGGCAGCGATGGTGACCGCGGAAGCTCAAACTTGATGGCGATATACTTCAAGACCCAAAGAATCAGAACTGTGCTCAATTATGATTCCCCAGTTGGCACGTCTCCAATAGAAAATTATAATGGAATACTCCTAAGCAGTCGAGTCGCTGAATGGAACACTAATCCTCAAGAGCTTTAACAAGCTGTCCCAATGCAAATAATAAGCCAAATCCAATTCAACAAATCTCCCTGGCACTCTAAACTCGGAAGAAGTCCACCGACGTGAAAAGTAAAGCGAAAACTGAACTCCGGGTAGTAAGTGACAACTGGCATGGCAGTGGGTTGCTGGCGATTGGCGGTGAGGACGATCGCAAAAAGTGTGGTGACGGTGGGATACCGAAGAGGAAGGAAGAACTTAGGGTTTGGGTTGATTGGGTATTGTAGATGTGGGCGGGGTTAAGTGTTATATATAATGGGCTAGGGTTATGGGCTGCGCGAATTTGGGACCGTTTATGGGTTGAATTTTATGGAACAACACTACAGGTTTATAGCAGCAGCAGCAGCAAACGTTTTGGTTTTTTTTTTTTTTTTTTTTTTTTTAAACGAAAACTGTAGGAAAGAGTCTAATGGAATTTTAGAACGTGAACAGTAACGCGTTTTTTTTTCAACAACGAACGACAACTAAAAAAATGAAATTTGCTGCTTGTCCACTGAAAATATTTTCATTTGTGTTGTTCCAACAAATTTTGGGAAGAAATAAGAAGAAAATTTGGATTGTAGAAAAAATTTACCCAAGGTTCGGCTCTGAT